CATAGATCTTATTTTGTAAATAATTGTTATATGAAAGTGCTGAAATAGTCCCCTAATTTGGATGTTGAGGTTGATTCCCTGATTGTTCCTATCTGGGTTTCATTTTCCTATCTAAGATTCCATCTCTTCTCTCATAGGATCCTCTTTGAGTTGGATTCTCTCTTCGGCTGAACGTTGAAATCGGACACAACTACGGCTTCAGGTTCCCGTCCTTCGGTGGCATGCATTCTCGCGGAATTGGATGTCACCAAACATTACTCAGATAAAATTTGGGTGGGTTCAACCAATACGGGCTATATTCAATCTGTGATTTTTAATGATATTCCCCATTTCTATATGTATTGTAATTTGTTAGAACATTTGAAGGATGATTGTCGTATTTTGCATCATCATCTGAAGAATGTGCCTAAACTTGTGTCTGCTCCATGTGCGTTGTCTAGGATGAATGTGATTAATGCGGGCTCTAATGCTGCTCTTAACCCAACCTCTAGATTAGTCCACTTATTTATTAAGAATGCTGTTGTTGTCCCTTCTGTGACGAAGAATGCGGAGCAGGTTTTTGTTTGTGATGTTGGTAATCTTGAGGATGTTGTTTTGTCCCCTGATTCCTTATCGTTTGTCCCACCTATTCATGACTTGGGATCTCTAGAGTCGGTTTCTCCTGCCCCTTTGCCTATTAATTCGTTGATCGGTTTGGTTTCTTTTGCTGAGTTTGGTGCATTTGGGTTTTTGTGAAGGTTACTGAGGTTGTTGTGGCTGGGATTTTACCTTCTATTCAGAACCCTCGGGCTTGTGTTAGTGTTGTTGGTTGTTTTGGTTGTGCTGTTAATTTTTGTCACGTACTGTCTGAGGTGGGTGATGTGTCTACCACGTGCTTTTTGTCTGGTAATATTGTGCCTCGTGTGGCTGTGGAGAATTCGGGTGAGTCTAGCATCCCTAATGTTTCTTTCCCTGGTAATTTGGGTGGGGTTTGCTCGGTTACACCTTCGGGTGTGGTGAGTGAGGGATCTGCTAGTGCTGTTGTTCCTACTTTTATTTCCCCGGTTACGCCTACTATTCAAGTAAATGGTCATTTTATTGAGGTCCCTGTTAATTTATTATCTCCTAAGGCTTTGGTTGCTCATGTAGGTGACAATTCGGGGGAGAGTGTTAGATTGCAACTTGATTGGCATCAATGTTCATCCCAATCCTCTTCGGAGACTAGCGGGGATGATGAACCTGGAGTTGATATTACTTTGCAGAATTATCGTCCTGTTGTTGTTTTCTCCCGTGGGAGGGGTAAATGTGGGAGGATGTAATTTGGGTTTGTGCTACTGTTTCTCTATGGTTGTGGGTTTCCTTGTTGAGGTTGGTTGGGTTTTGGTGGTTGCCAGTTCACTAGAGCTTCGTTTATTATTTTCAGTTGGCCATTTTAGTTTTCTGGGCAATGATATGGCTCGGACTCACTATTTCATAGCTGTGGCTTGTGGCAACCTTTGGTGGTGAGTTTCTTGCTCGGTTGGGATGGCTACTGGTATGTTACTACTCTCTGTTCCAAACTGGACGGCCTGAGCCTGGCTTCGGAGTAGTTGGAAGCCTTTGCCAATTACTGAGCCCGATGGGTTGCAACCCTTTTGTATCTTCTGTAATTTTTTGTTGTGTTTCATTTCTTTGCATCTTATACTCCTTTATTGGTATTAATAAAATTTGTGTTTGTGTTAAAAAAAAATAATATCAAAATTATTGTAAAGCCATTAAAGATTCGTTTGGGGTGATTTTTTTACTGCTTCATAAAACATTTTTTTAGAGCAAAATTTTTTATTTTTATGATAAAAAACTTCTTTAAAAATTAATAAAAAACCCTCCCGAACTAAATCTAAAGAACAAAAAGATCCAACTTTCAACTTCTAATCATGATTGTTGCCAACATAGCAAGGCTAAGCTTTTTTGCTTTAAGCTTATTTATTGTGTATGGAGCTTCCATAAAAAATTTAAGAAAATATATTTTTGAGATTTAATTTAGATTCAATAAAAAGAAGATAATATCATATACTTTTTCTTAGAAATTATGGTCGAATTTTCTAATTATTTTTTCTAATAATTTTAAGGTAATTTAATTATAAGTTCACATAAATTAAATATAATTATAAATTCATAATCTCTTAATTAGAATTTAGATGTTTGAGTTCCAACAAATAAACTAACATAACTATATATTTATTTTTTATAAATTTTTCTCAGAATAAAGTTTTATTATTTATTTTTTTATTTATTTGCATCAGACATAAAAGCCCAATGTGCCGGCACAGATTGAGAATTCGATTACCGGAAGTGGGCCCAACAGCCGCGTTGCTCCTTCGCTGGCCGCGTTGCTTCTCCTGCCCTTTCCGCGTGCGCAACACGGAATACAACCGTCACACCGCAAGCTGGCATCAGCTACCGCGCCAAGACCCGTTTGCTGTTGCGTTTCTCCTTCGAATTTCTCAAATTTTTATTAAACTTTGAACAAATTTAATCTCAAATTAATACACATATCTATTTGTTCTATCTCAAATTCAAAGTCATGTGATTAGATTAAAAATATCAAACTGATTAGAGGTATAAATAAGTCGAGTATTTATCTAATCAAGCTAAGTTTATTTAGTTTTTCGTGAGCTCCAGCTTAACTCGAGTTCGTTTACTAAGCTCACCTTAATTAGTTGATTAGGAGTTTTAGCTATCAACTCAGAGGTATTGAGTCTGAGTCTTGCATATGTGTTGTGTGTGCAAGCTTTTGTCTTAATTGACCTAAATGTCTTAATTGGCTACGTAGCTCATCTTGATCTGTTGATTAGGAACTTTGGCTATCAACCAATACGGATTGGTTTCTTAGCCTGCATATATGATGTGTATGTGAATTTATCATAATTGGCCTAAATGTCTCTTTGGATTACTTTCTCGCTCTTCTTAAAGCAAGTTTATAGCACAAAAATAAAATTTGTGTACTAGAAGAATGCTTTAAGAATCATTAAGATAGCCATCCCAAATGACAACTATCAATATAACTCATTTACTATAAGACAAATTATATCAAACCTATTTATATATTTCCATATATAATCATATATATTAGGTAATTTTGTACCAATAATATTGACACTCAAGTATAAATAGGAGTCCGGTGATCTTACACGCATGAATCAATATGATATTTTTGACCAAAACTCAATCCAATTGAAATCACTTTTAAGATCTATGGTCGAATTCACCCTCCATCATATTTAATCAAAATCTCTATTTTCCTCTAAGGACATATACTACCAAAAAACTTATTTTCTAGTCCAGAATACAGTACGGGACATATCAAACAGTAATTCATCTCTAACCGAACTCCATTTCAAACACGAAAAAAAAAAAAGAATATTTTATGTATATTCTTTCTCAATCTTTTTTTTTCTAAAAAAAATACATTCATAAATAGGTTGACGTCAATATTGAGGTTGCACTATTCAAAACACGAAAATGTCTTTCCAAATATCATTCGGCTAGACACTCGTGCGAACTGCAAACGCCCAAATGACGTATAGTTCGAGATACCCTAAACTCTTCAAACCTTATCAAATTCCATAATATAGTTATAATATATTTCGAAAACAATATTGAATCCAATAATAATACTTTTGATTAAATCATACCGATGAAAGCTTTTAAGCTCCTTAATCTACTATCAGTTGAGTGTAATATATAAATAATATGTATTATATTTATCTCAAAATAAATTGAATAATTTTAAAATTTATTTAAAAGAAATATTAAAACATTCTTACGTTAAATCACAGCAAATTCCAAGCTGGCAATCACCAGTATGATGAGCGGACGTTAATAATAAAACAATTTATTCTAAATTTGTGTGCTCGTCTCAGCACATATGGCTTAATATTTGCATTTAATAAATAATTTAGAAATTTGGTAGCGTGTGATATAATTATTTGAACGTATATAATAAGCTGTAAATTTTATTTATTTGAAGGGATGATCTGAGCCGTCGATCGAGTGTTAGCTGTTAGCTTGGTCAATAGTTGTTTTGGAGCTGTTGGAGAGAGCAGTCGGATTGTACGAGCAATTTTTGTCTATGAGATAACTTTTTTATTATTATTAATATAAAAATTTTAATTTAAAAAATTCTTATATTAGAAAATTATTTTTCAAAATAGTAATAAAACTATCTCAAATAAAACATTAGTGTTAATTAAGATTTTTATATACGTTCAAAATAAACTTAACATCGATCAATTTATCAGAAGAAAATAGCCTTTATATTAGAATACATGTAAAATTAATTAAGAGTGTCAAAAATAATATAATAGGTCTTGATACGCCATGTAAAAATTATCTTGATCGGACGCGAATCTCGAGAGAAAAAGCTAGTTGGAAACTTTAAAATTTAATTTCGGGAGCATCCGAACTCCGATTTCAGCAAGCTTATAGTCGAACTGAGCGTCTCGGAAATACGAACTCAACGACACCAAGATCAACCCAATCCGAGCCCAAATGAGTTCGAATCAAGGACCCGAAACGCTGTTTGAAGG